ACGGAGGTCGCAAGGGGGGAGTGGGGGTGTCAGACCTGGTGGACGGCGGGCCAGTTTCGAACGAGGAAATGCAGGGTGGGGGAAGTCCCAAGGACGGAGGTCCCATTGGGTGGTGGCGGTGGTGGGGATGTCGGACCAGGTCGACGGCGGGTGTGGTCCGCGCGAGATATCGTAGGGTGGGGGGGCCCCAGGAACAGGAATTGGAGGGTGGGGGTGTCCAACCTGGTTGGGATTCAGGGTGGGTTCAGGGTGCGAGGGATTCAGGGTGGGTTTAGGGTGCGAGATAGCTGTGCGGCGAGGGTGGGGGTGTCCAACATAGGAAGGAGAGGCAGCGTTCTGATAGGAAGGATCCGGGGTCGGCTGATGACGGGAAACGACTTCGAGGAATTCGAAGGAGAAGGATGTTCTGTATGGTTGAAGCCTAACATTGTATACAGGGTGCGTCGAAGCTATACCATGGCCGATTGTATTTGATTGTTCGCCTGAGGCATCCTCCCAGACATGGGCCGCCCATGGAAGGATGATGGAAGATACGTATGTGCGACCTGATATAGTTTCCGCCTGGGCACGCGCTCCTGCCCAGAATGCAACGCAGCAGACGAACGCGGCTAACGCAATCAACGATCGACCTACATGGCGGGGACCTACAAGAACGGCGCAGAGAGGACGCGAGGACCTTCTCGGCCAGGGTTAGACGCGATGTACAAGACAGTTTTTCGATTGTTGTCGGTGATAACCTGAAGTCGCAGGATCAAAATAAGAGACACTGGAGTGGCAAGCCGGACATCCGGACCAGAACATCAAAAGCTGGCATTGCACACTTTGCTAGGGAACCTTGCTCCGTCCCTTCATGGGAGGCGGAGAGTCATAACGACAAGCCCCCCTTCGACATGAACCATATTTTCGTTTTCTCGAGGCATTCAAAAAGAGGTTCATTGTATACAACTCGCGGAAGAAAGGTGGCACGAAGGCCGCTGAATGGCGGCCCGTCCTGTGTAAGAATGCTGACCCCACTGCTGCACCTACGTCATGCCCGCCACTGGCCGCTTTCTGCTGGGCCAGATACTGATGACGACCGAGTGAGTAGATCCCAGAAGGGGATTGGATCTTTTGGGGGGGGGACCTGACGGCAGACGGGGCACTTCCTCCCGCGGCCTCGCGGTTGGCGAGCAGGTGCCCGGGACCTGGTTCCGAGAGCGCCGCGGGCGCGGCCCGGCCGCTGCCCACCAGAAGTTCGGCTCCGTCTTCCAGCTGCGAGCTTGAAATCTTCCCGGGGCCGATCGTACCATGCACTGGGGTCTTCTGCAGTCTGTGAGGGATGATATTTTGACACAGCATGGTCCTAATCGCCCAACGCTTCAGCTCTTTGGTGCCGTGCTGGTCAATCGCATGCCCGACCAGCCAGTTGCTTGATGCCCTGCAACTCTCGGAGGTTGGGGGGTGAGATCGCAGTGGAACGGAGACCCCCAAGCGGGAAATAATTTCGTTTCGTTCGTGTCGTGCGCGCGGGCGAGGCGAAGCTGCGTGGGCGCGCGAGAAGAATGAACCCGCCGTTGCTAGGGCGAAGTCAAGACAAATGATTCTCCCCCTCCCGCCCGTCTGGCGGTGGCTCGCGGTGTCCCGCGGTGTCCCGTGGAGTCCCGCGGTGTCCCGTGGTGTCCGCCATTGCTAGGGCGAAGTCAAGACAAATGATTATCCCCCTCCCGCCCGTCTGGCGGTGGCTCGCGGTGTCCCGCGGTGTCCCGAGGTGTTCCGCGGTGTCCCGTGGTGTCCCGTGGTGTCCGGTGGTGTCCCGTTGAGTGAGATCGATAGTGAGATCGATCGTAAGATCGATACTGAGATCGATGTGGTGCCCCGAGGTGTCCCGTTGTGTCCCAAAAAGTGAGATCGATAGTGAGATCGACGGGTGTCCCGTGGTGTCCCGTTGAGTGAGATCGACAGTGAGATCGATAGTGAGATCGATAGTGAGATCGATGTGGTGTCCCGTGGTGTCCCGTGGTGTCCCGTTGAGTGAGATCGGTAGTGAGATCGATACTTTGATCGACAAGTGTCCCGCGGTGTCCCGTGGTGTCCCGTGGTGTCCCGTTGAGTGAGATCGATCGTGAGATCGATTGAGTCAGATGTTGGTTCCCCCCGACCCCCCCCCCACACAACCTCCTTATCACCCGAAGGGTGGTCGTACAGGTACAAATTATTGGAGCACACAATGACGAAGACAATGGTCCTGAATTCACGCTGTTCAATCTTGAGTACACAGAGGTGACTTCTTGAAAAAGACAAACCTTTGGGAGAGAATTTGGTTGAGAACATTGCTGTGGAAACATTCGCGCAGGAATAATTGCACCAATTGCCGCCAAGACTTATGCTGTTCTTGTTGGAACACTTGCACGCAAGTGCATGGTGGTAAATCTGAAAGAGGGCGAGGAGCTTGACAAGGAAATTCTGGAACAGCTGATGGGCAAAGTATTTGGTGATCTGTGGGATAAGAAAATTGCCGATTCATTGCTTGAACATCGACCGTTTCGAGTCACGAACACCATTCGTGCTAATGTAAAGTTGTGTTTGCGGTCGGTCGGTACATCGCTTCCAAGTAGGTCGGATGATCCCTCCGAGGTGACGTTCGAGAGGGACAGTCCGGAGCATCCTCGCTGTTCACAGCAGAAGAAGAGAGAAGCATGCACTTTAGAATGCAAACGTTAAACTGGCCATTCAAAGTTCGGACCTGCTGGAAACGTATTTGAAGGGTTTGGGGGCTTAACCTCAAGTCCCAAATCCGCAAGCAGTCGCACTCGATTCAGGCATGCATCGCCGATGTTGCCAAACTTGATGAATGGAAAGAGACGATACATGGCGACCATGCCGAATTTTGGAACCGTTTGGTCCACAAACATGGCCACTGCGCAGCCACGGCAGCCATCGGAATCCTGCGCAACTTTGCGTGGCATGGTGCACCCAATATCGGCTCAGCCGCGAGGGTTTCTAAGAAGCCCCGCGAGGAGGAGGAGGAGGAGGAGGAGCCGTTCCTCGCTCGCCGCCCAAAAAAACGCGCGTCCGTGCCGGCGCGGGCCGGTGCCCTCCGACCCGACGGCGCGCGGGGAGCTCCCCCCCGGCAGCGTGAGGGCACAAGCAGCGTGTGCCAATGCTCAGCGTTGGCGCACAAGCTGACGTGAAAATGCAGGCAGCCGCCGCCACTGGAGAAGTGCAGCCACAGGCTGCCCCTCCAGCCCAGCAGCCAAACACCGCCGCTCACGACGCTACCCGCTCGGCCGGCAGCCTCTGCCGACCCTGGGCCGCTCGCCCCGACGGAAACTGATGCTTCTCCTCCTCCTCCTCCTCCTCCTCCTCCTCCTCCTCCTCCTCCTCCTCAGGCCACCGACGTAGACGGTGACCAAACCAATGTTCCCCGTTTGCCTGCTGCGCCGATGCCTGCCGGCGTGCTTTCGGCCGCTGACGGCCGCAGCCTCCGGGGCGGCTCGCTCGGGCAGCATTCGCGGCGCGGGCTGCCTCCGCGGCCAGATCCGCCGCGGAGCAGGGGTCGCGGGGCGACGCCCGTTGGTGGAATGCCAGCCGCTGCCTCGCATGGCGCGCAGAGACGCAGCGCTTGGGCAGATGCTTGATAAGTAGCGACTGATGAAGAATGGCACGATTGTCGTGCGTCGAGCAGGCGGCCATGGAGGTATCGCACAGATGCCCATGCAGAAGATGATTATGACAAGAATCGGCACTACCTGCCAAGAGAGCTACGTCTGGAACAATATGGACAAATAATGGCACTTTTGGGGTGCAGCCGAGCACAACAAGTATTGTCGTCATATTTGAACGACGAGAGGAGTCCGACACCGACTTAGTCGGGGTCGTACTGCATGATCTCCAAGATCGGGACCAAATTCCATCACCCGATCAACCACATTGACTTCTGATGCCAGGTGCTTATCTGTGGGATTCGTCGGTTTGTTTCGGCCCTCATCAAGGGAGATCCTGCGGTAGTATCGGCGCCCCCCCCTTGGCGCTGTACAAGTTTTTGGGAGCGTCGGCGCTGAGGGGGGCCAATGTGCTGCGGGTGTGGGGGGGCAGGAACCCGAGGATCTCCCAGGGTGGTCGAGACCTCTGGCTTACGCATCCCGCCGCGGGGCGAGTTGTTTAACATCTCCCCCTGCCTGCTCCCCGCCGCCGCTGGCGCCTCTTTCCTCAGGAGCGGAAAAAGGACGTACATGTACATGAATCCACGCTGGTTTCGAGAGTTCACATTGCGCAAATATTCGTATAACGCGGCCGGTCTCACAGATCGAGGGGCCGTGTTCATGTACATAGCTGGGCGCGTACGTCCTTTGTGGGCTCCCTATTTCCTGCGGCGCTATATCGCGCCGCAGTTGTTTGACTAGATAAAGGCACCGTTTCGGTGTCTAGTGACTTGGGCCGGCGCCGCGGGCCGATCCCTCGCTCGGGCGTCAAAGGGAGGGTATTATGTCCTGCTCCCTTTACTGTTACTGCATGCAGCTGTTACTAGCTCAGCGGATAGTTGGAGGCATGTCGATGCGACCCACGTGGAGTACTGATGAGACCGATTCAGCATCATTTTCACACCCCACATTTGCCAGAGATAGCGCTCCTCTGGCAAAGAATCGGATCGGGACAAAAAAAAACGTTACCGGAGCCCTGGGCCCATTCTGCCTGGTTGATATGCCCGAGCTGGATCGATACGAGATGTTCCCGAGCCCCGGAACTGCACAAGAGTGTCCAGTTGGAACGAATGACAGCGCCCGGCCCGGGTCTGTTTCACGTCGCCGACCCGAACCTCTCCACCCACCAAACCACCCCAACCCAACCCGAAGGCCCAAATTTATCCTCGATTTCCAGTGGGGGGGGTCGGGGAACGTCGAGAAAACACATGGTATCCGTACCCCCCCCAACCCGAAATTCGGGTCAAATTCGGGTCTTCGGGTTGGGTTGGGGTGGTCTGGTAGGTAGTCAGAACCTTTTTGCCCCCCAGCGGCTGGCAGGTTGAGTTCTTGGAGGCCGTCCCCAGCGCTGGCGCGTCCGGCGGTGGCGCGTG